CGGGCGGCCCTCAGCGGCGGCCCGCGGGAGAGGAGGCGGAAGGAGCGCTGGGAGGCGGTCCTGCCGCCGGGCCCCGGACGTGCCTGGAGCCGGGCACGGGAGCGGAGCCGAGCGGGGCTGCGAGGCGCTGCCGCTCCCGCAGCCCCCGTGGCGCCGGGGGCAGAGGGAGGGCGGTAGCCCCGGGGKGCGGCAGGGGCAGCCGCGGTGAAGAGGACCCAGCCATTTTGCTTCCCGTGGGAGGCAGAAACCTCCTCCTCCTCGCCCGGCTCTTCCTCCCGATGCCTGAGAGCAGCAGCGGATGAGAGGAAGCCTCGTGTGGCGTCAGGATTCAGTGGGAGCCGCAGCGAGGGAGGAAGGGAGCTTCACGAGGGCACCGCCGCCGCTGGCTCCTCTAAGGTAACGGAGCAGCAGCAGCGCGGAGCTTCCGAGGCTCCCGGCCGCCCTACCCAGACTGCGAAGGGCATCCAGAGAGGCTCCTGCTCGGCCGGGTCAGCCGGAGGGCTTGTGGCGTTGAGCGGGTAGCCCTAAATTCTTCCCAGCCTGAAAATTCAGACGATATTCAAAGTTAAGGATTGCAGGAAGCTGCTTCGTATTTTCTCTTTTAGCGATCAGCACACGTCTTTTGCTAAAACCTCTCTGTGAAATCAGAAAGCCGCATATTTAAATTGGTGAACCTGTATTGTAAAATTTTGCCCAGGGAATGTTCTCTCCCTGCCTCAGAGAAGGCACAGGAGGGCACGTGCCCAACCAGATGTTTCTACAGCTTTAGTTCCATCTTTTTTTTTTTTTATTATTATTATTATTATTATTATTATTATTATTATTATTATTATTAGTTGGGGTTTGCTCCTCAGCACAGAGCATTTCACATTGCGTAGCACCTCTCACAACTGCAGCCATGAGCAGTTGAACTCAAAATGAACTAAAATTGTCAACAAATGCACAGAACTTGTATGTTATTTTGGGAGAAGCAAATAAAGAGAAATTCTGACAAAGTAACTTAAGTCCCTTACTGAAACAAGACTGTAATCCAACCTGAAGTGCTTTCGTATTAATGATGATACCTGGCAATTCTGTACTCCTGAAGATAGACTTTTGATTTCTGTTCTTGCAAATCAGAACATGTGAAAAGAGGTCTCCTGGCTGAGGTAGAAACAAAGCAGTTCCTGTACGCTGGGAGCATTCCAGGTCTTTGTCACATTAGGGCTTCGCAAAAAGCAAATTTCTGTGTTCAGAAACACCATTTCACATTTTCCTTCTGGAACTCAGTACATTTGGCATTCCGTCATAGCTGGTGTCCAAAATATAATCAGAAATGCTGATTCCCACCATTCTGCTCTCAAGTGGTTCTGCAATCAATCAGTAATATTTTCATGGGTTTATGAAGGGGGTGGCATTAGTCCTCTTTGTCACACAGCAGAAATCTTTCACTGAAGATTAGAGAATCTAACCTTGGATTTAAATGCCACCAATATGCTATGGCAGAATAAAACTAAAAACAAACAAATAAACAACAACAGCAACAACAAAAAACTAATTTATTTGGCCAATGATACATCTGAGGCATTATTTATGATTAAAACTGTTAAAACTCCTGGAGATGATGATGTCCTTTTTTCCTCCTGCTCAGTAAAGCTATGCAATTTTGAGAAGTTGGTGAACGTGTCTATCACCCCACCTGTGACACGCTCCGGCCACTGACTCTGTACAAAGCTAACACGTATGCGACAGAGCTTTGTAAGGGCTCTGTGCAGCTGCACCGCATGCACAGAGCGACCAGAAGCCTCATTACCCCAGGGCTAAAAGGGCAGCAGGAACTATTAAGGAAAGACATTTCAGAACAGAGTAAGAAGTAATATCCTAAGACATGAGCAGCAGGCCGACACTGAAAGCCACATGCAGAAAGTAACATTTTATCAGAAGATAAAATGCTATGGCATCCATTGAGATGAGACTGACAAGTACATTAAACACTAAACAATGTAAAAGAATTTCATCTCCAAGCATGGCTCACAAAGAGCTGGCAAGTTTTTTCTTTCACTGGGTTGGTAAATAGTAAATTGCCAAACTTCCTTTACACTTCCAGCCTAGATATTATGGGGGTTTTGAGTTTTGTTTCTGTTTGTATTTGCTCAAAGGACAGAGAAACCCCTCCTCTAATGAGCAGTCAGCACAGTCAGCATTACCTACTTCTTCACAATTATTTGCTGTTCATCTCTGGTCAGACAAAACATTTTTTCATGGCTCAGGGATTTGCATGTGGGCCTTATTGTCAGGTCACACCAGTAGGTGCCTTAAGCCCTGACCTGCTGCAGTCTCAGTTCTTCTGCTTGTGCGTCTGACTCTCCTGTTCGATGAGACTTTGGGCATCTCCACAGAAAGCGAAACGTCACCTCCTTTAGAGGCTGCTGCCTCTTTTGCATTGAGCCTGTCTCTCTTCAGACTTTGTCTTGATACAGAACCTAAATCTGAAGAGATGATTGTAATTTAAATTACCTGCAGTGTCCTAGATAACATCAGCTGCTCAGTGCTTAGGAAGAAGCTGATGTTAGCTGAAAATGACTTATTTTTTTGGCCAAAATGTTCTGGTTCTGCTAAATTCATTAAAAAGTGGAAGATTTTACTTATAAAAACCTACTATAAAACATAACAGAGAATGTGTATTTTCATTAGAGGTATGTTTCACAGATATAATTAATTACCTCTCCATAAATTCCTTCTACAAGTAAATTTTGAATAAAGGCTAGTTCAGACAGAGTTCCAACAACAGGAAGGCGGCCCACAGGAAATAAGTTATGGAAAAGACAAACCAGTGTGGCAGAAGTTAAGAGACAAATTCCAGCCCAACCTGTAGTACTGCTAAACACTCAAGATCACATTTAAAAATAACAATTTGGAAAGTGAGACTTCTCTACATGCGTCAGCCCAAAAATACCGTGATAAAACCCCCATACAGCTGCCACCTAGCCTCCAAGAAATATGTTTGCTTAGCAGGCATCTTTTGCGTTAGCAAGTCCTTAACTTTTATGTTTCTGCTGCCACAAAATGTGCCTTTCTGTGCCCGGCGCATCGTCATGACAGTCAGAGGATCTGGCGCACCCTGACTGACTGCTGTGTAATTGTGTTTCTCGCTGCCCCTTCGACTTGTTTCAGTGGTAGAAACAGAACCACTGGGGTTTTGTTGATTTGTGTTTGGGGTCGGGATTTTTGCAGGATGACAGTGAATTGCTGTTGTTTTAAATGGTGTGGGTTGAAGCAGATTCCTGAAAAAAAAAAGAATAACTTACCAGATGCCAGTGAAAATGCAGGGTTTGAGCAAATACTGTAACTACTAATTTAGTTAAATTTATCCAACTGTGAAAATATATTGGAATGAATAAAAATATAGAGACATGAAACGCATTGCATTTTTTTTGTTTGAAAAAAAAAAATTGGCTTCAGTAAAGAGCAATTGAAGTTTGAAAATATGCTCCTGAGAAAAAATGTGTTCATTTCCATAAAACATATTGGTGAGTAAATATACAGTATGTATCAGTTCCAGAATGATATTGTGAATTCAGGGAAATTTTATTCTGTATTAGTTAGTCAGATGAACCAAGTAAAAAGAATAGCATGATGCAATTACTACATATAAAGCATGTGTGGGATGAGATTCCATATATAAAGCAATTATAAATGTGAGATGTTTCACTGTTTTCACTAGGAGAAAAGCTCTGAAAAACAGCACTGTCAATGCAATACCAATGTGAAGCGAGTCAAGGTCAGTGAATCTGGTATGTATTTTATTGAAAAGTACCTAATGTATCCTTTGAGATGGTGAAAATAATTACAGGAGAGAATTACTAGTGATGACTCGAAACAGAATATCTGATGCAGAATTTGATTTCTCATTCACATGATTTGTGGAATGCAAAATATAGAAAAGAGGCTTCTGGTAACATGGTTCTACTTAAATTCTAGTTAGTTCCTCTTCCCCA